CCCCCCCCCCGTGTCTCTCTCTCTCTTTCTCACTCACTCTCTCTCTCTCTCTCTCTCCCGTTCAATCTCGCCTTGCCGCGCGCAACCCTCTCGCCCCCAGCTGGTCGCCGTCGTCTCGCTTGTCTCCTTTTCCGCTCGAACGAACGAACGGCCCACCCGCGCGTTTCTTACGCGCGAAATCGTCGCGCTAGACGACGACCCGGCCTCGCAACTCGATCTTACCGATATCGCGCGATATATACGCCGGATTTGGTGGTGTGCGCGCGGTATCGATAAAAGCGACGACGGTGTGCGATCTCCGTCCGGGAGGACGGTGTCCGACATAGGACGGTCGCGTTTCGTCGGAACGCTCGAGGAACTTTTCCTCCTTCCGCGGAACGTACGTCACGTGACGAGATATCGGGGGAGATCGCGGTCCCGTCGTCTCGGAGGAGTGTGAACCCGGTCACCTCGGAGCGTCGTCCGGTCGTCCTCCGAACAGCTGGCGAGGTTGCGATATTTTTTTCTACGATTCTCCCCCCGAGAGTACCACCACGGTCTATATCTGTCATCGCGAGTCGTTAGACGCGTTGGAATACGTTCTCTCATTAAGCGTGACACACCGACGCTGGCGAGGAGAAATCGATTGTCCCATCAGCATCGGGTGTGCTTCTCGAGTGTTCGAGTGATAAAACGATGTCGCGATGTCTCGTCGCGCCCCGCGTTTCATACGCTCGCCTCGATCAACGCCGATTATAATTGTATCCGTGTCGGATTACAGCATACGGCGCGTTCTGCGCTAATCTAGCGGCTCTCTCTCTCTCTCTCTCTCTCTTTCTATCGCGCGCGCGCGTCCTGCATTATAATTATCACAATTCGGTCCATCCTTATCACCGTGTGCGCTCTCGTACTCGATACGGTGTTTTCGGTGAGCGCGTGAGAAAAGTGTGAGGAGAATAAAATAGGTACATCGGTGATTTAACATAGGCGGATAGGCGAAACGAAATGTATTCCGCGTTTCTCTCATCCATGGCGATTCTAATTAAAACCGATTAAGCCAATTGAACGTTCCTTATTTTACAGGAGGGTTTGCAATTGTATTTCTGGTCAAAGCTTCCGGTGGACGGTATGCGCTTAAACGGATTTACGTCAACAATGAATATGATCTCAACATGTGCAAGAGGGAAATACAAATCGCCGTAAGAGCGGATCTTTCCGTCCCACTTGGATTCGCAACGTACGGTGGGTCTGTTCTTTTTTCTTCTATTCCTGCAACTGGCCGCGCACTAGCTCGCGCTGGTTCTCCTTCTCCTCTCTCTTTCATGAGATTCGGCGGCAAAAGAGAGGAAGCTAGCCAGTGCAAGAATAGAGAGAACAGATCCCGCTGTATTCTCCGTAAGCAAAGATTGCATGTAACACTTGTGTTTGCAGAGCAACTTGAGTGGTCATAAGAATATCATAGGATATGTAGATAGTAGCATAACTCACACCGGCGGAGGAGTACATGAACTTCTACTGTTAATGCCTTATTGTAAATCCCAGCTTCTTCAAATGATGAATAACAGGTTAGCAGTGATTCATATATCAGTTGATTATATTCTTTTCAATAATAAGATTTTGTCCAATCTTAATAATATCTCTCTCTCTCTCTCTCTCTCTCTCTCTCTTGACGTGTATTTATATACTCAGAAATGTATCGTAAGGATTCTAAAGAAACGTATCTTTTTTCCCTACGTTTGATAATCGCGAGGCTTGACTGCCTCGTGTCAATCTGCATGCAAGTCAATACGATCCATAGAGAGAATCTCATTAATTCGAGAATATTGAGATTTATGACATGCATTACATAGTACGCGTGATACTTTTTACTTCCAGGTTGCAAACAGGTTTCAGTGAGTCAGAGGTTCTTCAGATTTTTTGCGACGTCTGCGAAGCCGTGTCTCGGTTGCATCATTGCCAAACCCCCATAATTCATAGAGATCTCAAGGTGAACTATTTCTTCCTCACGCTAACGGTGTCACGGTGTACAGACGTTTAATGGAGGTGTTATGTAACACAATGTATGCACGTAAATCTGGCTATCTCGAATCTCTTTTCTGGTCATCACAGGTGGAAAATATACTGCTCGCCGACAATGGTAACTACGTTCTTTGTGACTTCGGATCCGCGACAGGGAAGGTTCTTAATCCTAGTGTTCACGGTACCGCGATAGTCGAGGAAGAAATCAAGAAATACACCACTTTGAGCTACAGAGCGCCCGAGATGGTCGACATGTACTGCGGGAAACCCATCACTACGAAAGCTGATATATGGGTAACGTATATATGTTTCTTAGACGCGGATGCATCACGCAGAGTAAAATTAGGTCATTAAGGGACTGCGTACATGACCGAGCGACTTGAAAAACGCCCAATATTGAATGTGAATTTTTCTGCTGACCGCATTATTGACTTTATGAAGATGTCTTTTTGAGAGATGATTCTTCAATATTTTTATTTATATTATGTGAAGCCCGTCATAAGAAATTGATATGTAACGCTATTATTACTGCTTGTTATTGTTCCTGTGGAGCTCGTCATCATTAATCGATATCCAAAATATCTTGGTAACTATTGGATCGATTTAGCTCTAGTTTTGCATTGACATTTGTAGTAAGATTATCTAGTCTTTGTCGCAGCCGATTTTTGAGATATTAATTTTTTATAAACAATTTCTTATTAACATTCGAAAGACAAGTCGAAAGATTTCTCGTCACGAAATTTCTCTTCTTTTCTTTTATAAAAAAAAAAAAGCTATAATATATATCAAAAAAATTCGACGACAAAGATTAGATAAAATCTTATCAAGAAGAATATCTATGCCAAACTACAGCTAAATCTATCGAACGGTTTCCGAGATATTTCAGGTACCAATTAACGATGACGAGTTTCACAGAATGAGTAATAATAACGTATCATTTTTTCTTGTAATGGGCTTCATGTAATATGTAAATAAAAGTATGAAAAATCGCTCTTCAAAAGGACATCTTCATAAAGTCAATAGTGTGGTCGGCAGAAAAATTCAAACATCGGACTGTTTCTTTGAACCGTTCGCGTGTATGTAGCCTCTTAATTAGACAAACGAGACTAATGGAAATCCTATTAGCGTCTTTTTACACTGATGTTCCATATTTCAGGCTTTGGGATGTCTGCTGTATAAACTTTGCTACTTCATATTACCATTCGGCGAGAGTACGCTCGCCATACAGTCTGGAAATTTTACCATACCGGATAACTTGAGGTACGTGGAAGAAGGCCGACTGTATACGCCTGACAGAAGTTTTTTGAATTTTTAATCACTTAACGACCCCCAGCCGCGTTCTGAACGCGGCGACCCGAGTAACGGCACTGTGTTTCGACGAGTGATCGAGAATCTGGCAATAGAAACGCTGCGAAGCACCAGATATATTATGGATGTGATCATTGAGCGGTTATGTCTACGGGAAAAGTGTACAAAAGATAAACGTAAGACATTTATCTGTTACAGATACAGTAAAGCTCTTCATTCTTTGATCCGATACATGCTCGAGCCGGATCCCGACGTGCGCCCAGACATTTACCAAGTGTCCGTGATCGCCTTCCAAATCCAAGGCAAGGAGTGTCCCGTGACAAATTTACACGTACGTGGACAATTCACATGATAATTCACACTAGTTGCACCGATGCCGCGACAACACAGGATATTTGGCCACGAAACACTTCTCAGTTTACTCGTTACATGCTCCCACACGTAATAAATTTAACTCCTATTTGCCTTCTTGCAGAAAGTCCCAACACCGACGATAGAGTCATTACCGTGTCCACCCATGGATTCCGAAAACATTAAAAGATCGGCATCCGTGAAAACTCCGAAGCCCACGCCAATAACGGCGGTCGAGGGCACGTCCGTGACGCCGAGACAGAGACCGAAAGGACAAGCCGTTAGCACCGGCCCGATCAATCTAGGCGGCCAGATCGTGGGACAGATATCGGGCCAAGGGAGCCAAGCGCAAAATCCACCGGGCAATTCCATTTCTTACGTTCAAGTAAGTTAGTCTTAGGCCTGTTCTACAATACACCGTATGTCGGATTCAGATGTCACAACGCAGCTGATGGTCCAATGAGAGAATTTATTTTTCGAAAGTAAGTTCCCCTCATTGGACCATCTATTACGTTCTGACATACGACAGGTATTGTAGGACAGGCTTTAGGACTATTCCACGACGGCCGTAAAAGTGGCTGTAAAGGCCGTAGCATTTAACCGACGATCGCAGAATTTAAAGCTATTCTACAATAGCCGAGAGAGTATAGCTGTAAGGCCGTAACATTTAACTGATGATAGAATTTAATGCTCTCAAATCAGTGCTGTCTACAATAGCTTTACAGCATAACGTGAAGCGGGCCACTCAGGAAGGAGAAGATTGGAGCTTCGATGTTCTCATTTGTTTTGATTGGTCAACCGTAAGGCATAAGAAATGATAATAATTCATTTCGCTTACAGTTCACTACACCGAAAATAAGTTCTTACGATCTCTCATCTTACTCTTTGTCCCAACATCTCGCTTTAAGACGTAAGCAATAAGCAATTTGACCAAGCACGATCGATAAACGACCGTGGTTTGGTCAATTTGATTGCTGTTTACGTCTTAAAACAAGATTGTGGACAAGGGGCTAAGCAGGGTCTACAATGAAGATTTAAGCTCCAAACTTTAAAAAATTGACTCATCACAGTTGATTATTCTCTTCATATTCGGCTGTGATTGGTCAATTTTTTAAGGCTTACGCCTTAAATTCTTATTATAGGCTTACTGTTATATCCATACGGCTATTGTAGAAGAGCCTTTATAGATATGCTGAGATAATCTCTTTTTTTCCGCTGAAACATCCACGAAAATATTCAGATATTCTTGGCGGATGTGCAACGGGTACGATTGTCATTAAATCTCCTGTCGATGGACGAATATCCAGTTCGAGTTGCGCGCGAGTTATCGAACTTGTGAAAACATGTTTTATCAGCTCGGAGCTGATATGCCAAAGCTATTTGTTTGGATACTTTCTAAAATACAATAGAAAAAATATCCACTTAGTTCAGCAGCTGCTGCAATGTTATTTTCCCGGTGCATTAACGTAGAGTAGGGATGGTGTTTTCTTTTGGAGGCTTCGATATTCGAGTTTAAAAAATATCCAAGTTTCGAAATATCGGAATTATACAGGCTGTCCCAGAACTACCGTATGTCATTATAAATTTCGGATTCTTGGGGACATTCTAAGATGAAAGTTCAAACACGAAAATGGTGAAGCTACAATATTTTTCTATTAATTATAAGCGATTAAAGTTGACAAATCGTGCGGCTGACGTTTCTCGCGCTCACATGTGGCAACATGGACGATGATGAAGCGTGCTATCATGATGAAACGGATTCTTCCGAAAATTTGTGTACAACCATGCAATATGACATAAAGAGAATGGTTTTGTTTAGACGTGGAGTATTTTTACTCATATCAGGGTATTGTAGAAAATAAAAAAATATATTAAATTCTAAATGTGACTAATCTAAATATGAATATGAAAAATGATAGAATATAATAAGGCCAAGGTTATAGTATATGTTATCATATAGTAACGTAATTTTACATATTAAATACCTCCTGGCGGAGGCAGTATTTTTTTTCTCAACATGATTGAAAGCAAGAAGAAATAAGTTATCACTTAATTTATCAATTAGGGAAATTTTAGAGATATTTAATAGATAAAATTACGTTACTTTTTACGAATTCAAGATCGGTTTATTCGAATGGAAAGCTGACTCGCCGTATGCGTTTGTTCGAAAAATTCTATTTTAAAAATACCGATTTTAAATATAGATTGATTTGGATGTTACACGAATCAGTTGTCAAATCAAACTTTATGATTAATCGATTGACGTGTAAAAAGTAATCATTCTGTTCTCAGGTGTCGCCTCATGTTTGCACTCCCAGTCAAAATATCCCATTTGGCCAGTCACCGGGGCAGTCGGCGCAGTACAGTCAATCTCAGAGCCCGATGATCAGCCACTCACCTTTGACCCAGCAGTCGCCCGTGACCGTTCAAGACAAGAACTCGTTTTACTTCGACTCGAGGCAGCACGACGCGCGAGCCGCGACGAACGTGAACGAGACAAATCTGGAGGCTCTGTTCCCACCGTCAGGTAATCCCAATGCAACATGACAAACATGAAAATTGCAAAGCACCCAGCTGACTCTCGCGTTCGATCGTTGCTCCGACAGGATATCCGGATCCGTTCAAGGACGACGCGAGAGCGATGCCACCGCCCGCCAAGATACCACCTCCCGTAGCACCGAAACCCGCGAAGATCCTCCCGAAACTCTCCAATCCCAGTTATCCGTCGTCCAAGTATCCGCCGGTCGCTTCGATGCCGTCGAAATTGTCCATTCCTCCCGCGGGGCCTAACAAAGCGGCTCCGACGGTCACGCCGCCAGCTCTACCGAAGCCGGTCAATAAAACTGAGAGCTTGAGCCAGAACATCAGTTCGAGCACGTCTCCGCCCGATAGTCCGACATTGGCGTCTTCACGGCACAGGAGAAACGTTAGTGACACGAGCGCTTTTAACAAGTAAGAGTCCGTTTCACTACTGAATTTATTTACGTGTCACGTATACGCAACACGCTCACAAAGATTCGCGAAGTACCCAATATTCTCCAGTGTTCCGATGAGTCCCGGTCAAATTAGCGTCCGAGGGTGCAGGAGGAGTTTGAGAGGGAGAGAGACCGGAATCCACGCCCACACTCTATCTGAAGGAGATTGTTTATTTAATTACAGTGGCCATTTCAATGTTCACAGAGCGTTTGCAACTGAAACCACTCAATTCTTAGCACCATATGAGGCTTCCGTTAAGCCACGTGCCGATGATGCCACACCTCCAGAACTTCCCAGTGATATAAGGCCTTGTATAGCAACTAGTGCCTCGCATGTACGTGTTGTAAGTACATAAAGCGCACATTTTTATTTTTATTTTTGTTGACGCTGTGTTTATACGAGGTTTTATTGCGTGTTATCGATTTTTTTTTTACCGTCATTAATTTCAAATGTTTATATTTATTGTAATGTGAAAGAAATCATTTCTTTGGTCGGCGACGTAGCATGAAGTTTCCTTTTCTTTAAAGGAGGGTGGAAGATCTTCGTTTTAAATTTCATTTTTACAGTGTTTATATTTTATTTCCTTACATGTTTATAACTACTTTCCATATTATTTATGCACTGCACCAATGATACTATATTACTCCCTTATTAAGAAGCGTTTTCCAAGTTAGGATATTGAAAATCTTGCTACGAATTAGCTAATATAAAGAAGGAAGACGAAAATTACGTGTTTACCGCAATTGTATTTTATCGATGAAAAAGCAATAGTCGTAGTTCAAACTCCGACCGATGTCTGAACGATACACTAGGAATCGACGCAAAAAGTTCACTTTGCATTGTCGAGTAATCTTTATCCTACGTTCATATCAGGGTGAACTTTCGAGCCTAATAGGATCAGAAGGGAGATCATTGAGCGCGGATGTAGCTGCATGGAATCCGTTCGAAGATGTACAGCCTTTTAATCAGTTAACAGAGGATCATATCTTTGGTGCTGAATTCGATAAAATAAGAAGAGGGAGCAACACCAGTATCAGCGGAGTGAAAAGTCGCGAAAGCCTCGTTATGACGTACACCGAATTACCGGAGGACCCCTTTGAATCCGCACCCTTTAGCCTGCCAAGTAAGCATCTCGATGAAATTTTGTATTAATTAAGAAAGAAGAGGAAGAAGAAACGATACAGACATTTGTTTGCGTCGATCTCATAAACCCGAAGTCTCTATTAATCATCGGGTTCTCTTTTAGCAGGGAAGAAGAACAAAATTGGATCAAAGACTGCTGCTATCGCTGGAGGTAATGCATAAAATCCTACTTACACTGTCCTTCATCATCTCTCTCTTCCACTTTTCCTATATTAATATATTAATCTGTACTTGGTTTGAAGCCGCTATGAACACGCTCGCTGTTTCTTAATACTTAGTTTCTTATATTTGCCGAGTCATTGCTACATAAGATTCTAAGCTGTAGTCATAACCACTGTCTTTCGTCGTTTTTGATAAGTCTCAATTGCGTATACCAAGTAACCCCGACGAATTCGATATTTCGATTTAACAAAATTTTTGGTATTGGAAAATTTCTTCCACCTACAATATGCTGGAGAAGAAATTACCAGTCCTCTTAGAAATCATCAATCTCTTCTTAGATATGTTACCAAGTACGTAGAATTTTTATGGATTTATATGAACGTCGATATAACTTGTATTACTTTACTTTTGGAACAGTTTATCATGGCTGACTTATCACAGTCTTGAATTGCCTTATAAAGATTCGAGTGCCGGAGAAAACCTTGGTATACAATTCGAACTATCTTCGAAACTATACTTTAATTTTAGCTTTATTTAGAACCTAAGTATAAAAATATTCATATGTTGAACACGTCATAATTACGAATTTTAAACATCACATTTTTCATACTTTTGAAACTAATCGAGTCAAGACTAACTAAATTTAGTCATTTTTATTTTAATTGCATAATACTTGCCCCTTCCCTTTTAGTTTTACGCAACTGACAAAATCGTTAAGCTTACGAAGAAACGTTTTACGCAATTTAAGAACAAATGACTGATTTTGATTGATTTATAATTTTCTTTCCGTATTTTTTTCCTCTCTACTTAAAACTCGACAATTTTAATTTGATTTAGGGATTTCTTATGTTTTATTGTTGTGTCACACATTGAAATGACCATTGAAGAGGGCTATTTATAAATACTAGTGTATTTATACAACCATGTTTGTGGACAATAGATGTAGGTAAATGCTGAAACAATCATTTGTCAGCATGTTATACTTTTGTGCACTTCCATGTACATAAGTCTTAATTTTTATTACTAGACAGAATGAAGGTAACGGTAAATGAGAAAAGTAGTATTTCGAGATATAATGTAGGAAATGACAGTTTTTTCTCTCTCTAATATCATGTACGAAACTTGATTTGTGATATAACAATCAGTTGTTGCTTATAATGTTGGTCATACCGTTACAGTACTTTACGAAATTAAAACAAATTAAACATTTATATATATCTCTTTTTTTCAATAATATATATGTAAATAAGTAAATCATAAATTTCTACTACACCGTTTGTTTTGCCAAAGATAAGTTACAAAGCTACGATCGCTGTCATATTTACCAACGAAACTTAATTACTTCGATTACTGAATCTTAACAATATTTTGCTCCCATCATTTCGAATAAATTTTAATGAGTCATATTTGTTGAATATGATAGGGTAGACGATCGGTAGAGAGAAAAGTATTATCTACGAACAAATTCTCGTTTCTACACACGAAGTGAAACTGGATTGTAGTTTATCTCAAGTATATTTCCAAATTAGATCGAATAGAATAATGCCTCCAACTGGCGCTAGCAACAAAAGATACGGATTGATCTGGATTTTATTTGCATCATTTACAAAACACAATTGGGGATTAAACAATTTTTCCTTCTTTATTGATATAGACGCACGTGTGTTTATCCAGGTTATTTCTGTGCTTACTAAAGTGCGCTTATTAAAGATAGTCTATTCATAAAGATATCGTGGAGTATTTTCATTTTTTATATGAGAATATGTTGATAACAGCTTTAAAAATATTAACTTCGTTAATATCGCGAGAATTTCGACGAAGACGAAAATCGAAGTATTTTATTTACTAGCAGGAGTTTATATTTGCGAAAAAAAAAATAATGTGATGTTAATCTGCTCAGTTATGCTCAATTACGCGAAAGGAATAGTGAACGTTGCAAGTGAATGACATAACATTAACTTCTACTTACCTCAAATAGTAAGTTATGTAACAGAACGTAAGGATAATACATCGAATATTAGATTCAAGACACGATATAAATATATTATGTTACATAGCAAGTGTAATTATTAAAAAAAAAATTGTTAAAAACATGATGAGCATATATGGTGAAACGATAAGGGAAACAGAGAAAATTTCGTCTTTAACTTTATAATAGATGTTCCTACGGTATGTAATGCACAAAGCGGGATTAGCTTTTATTTTTAGTGTTTCTGTATGAGGTGGTTGGCGTGCTGACAAAAGGAAGGAACAAATTACATATAAATATTACATATACATATAAATATATAAATAAATGAGAATATACATATATATATATACGTCATGCAACATATGAAAAGTTATGTTATATATTATGTGATATACAAAGTTTAGGTACACTATTTTGTCCTACTCATATATATATACATATATATATATTATATATATATATATATATACACACGTGTGTGTGTGTGTACATACATACATACATACATACATACATACATACATATACACACACACACGCGCGCGCATACACACATACACATATACGTGCAAACGTATATTGAATGTTACAATGATTGTATTATATAGCACATTAAGAGATGTGGGAAGAATAGGTTTCCAGTATTTCGAAAACGATTAAACAATGTGATCATACAATACCATGTGAAAATTGCGTACTCAGTGAGACTAGACGCCTCGTTTTTTTTTTCTTTTCCTTTTAAAGACTAGGATGTATTTTTTTTCTTTCTTTAAATAGAAAGGCGATAGTAGTATACGTAGACTGTTATATTAACGAACGATACCGCGAACCTTTCCTTCCCACGAGACGACGATGGCTCCGCGCGCGATGCGTGAACGCATGTGAACATACACATACATGAACATACACATAAAGGTTATTATACACGCATATATATAATACCATGAAATATTGTATCTCTCCCCTCCCCCCTCGCGCGATGGTAATACTACAGTGACTGGCAAATAATACTTAGCAATTATTTTCTTTTCTCGCACTTCTTCCTCTCGTTTCTTCCGTCTCTCTTGTCTGCCTCTTCTTTCTCTTCTCGTTTCCGTTTGCGTGTTTGTTTTCTCTCCACGGTGTTCTTACGTCGCTTTTACACTCGCTAATTTGGGTTTCTTTCCGTGGTGTGTAACTAACGTCACCTCTCCACTTTGTGTACGCTCGTGTCGAATTTTAGGATACTACGATGTGATTTGACGATCCGTCGCGACCCGTCGGTGTATAACAAACACGCGGGAGATGAGAAACGATTGATCGAAGGGCGATCTATCGCACTTCCGAATCGTCTTGTCCTCTCTGGGAATGTAAAAAGTCGCACGTTGCGTGCGTATATGCGTGCGTGTGTGATGCTCCGTATATTTTCGCGCATCCATCTTACGTACCACTTGTCGCGAGAATGCGTTATAACGTTTATATCAAACGACACATCTTAATGTAACGAACGCTGTATAAACGTTAATTAATTAATTAATTAATTGACAACGCGCGAATACCTTATCTTTTTACAATTGTTAATCCTTCGGGAATTTTTACCTAACAATGTTAATTAGCTTAGATATAAAAGCGCGGAAGCCACCTTCTTCTTCTTGCATCGCGCTGAAAGATACTAAGAGATAATTGCGAAATGAATTCCGTTGCTTGAAAAATATGAGAGAGAGAGAGAGAGAGAGAGAGAGAGAGAGAGAGAGAGAGAGAGAGATAACGCGAAGCTCGTGCGACGTAAGGATGAGGCGAGCTTCGGATTATCTTTACTAGCACTAGTAGTATTACCGGAACCGCCGTAATATGTTGATTCTTCCTTGAATATGTAAGTATCGCAAAACGGAAAGAGATCCTTCCAATGGTATGACAACATGCGAAGACAATTGACGAGTGCGCTTTTTTTTCTCTTAGTTCCAAGAGAGAGAGAGAGAGAGAGAGAGAGAGAGAGAGAGAGAGAGAGAGAAGAATTGACGAAAGCAAGAAAGAATGTCTCACACTTATCTGTCCAATGTCTGGAACAACCTAATAAGTTTGGGAGGCATAAACACTTTCACATTCATTTCGAACGAATTTTATCGTTTGTTTAAAAAAAATTTCTTGACCCTGTCCCGCCTTGTTTGCCTCCCATGGTGTCTCTGATTACGCACGGTCGCGATCACGAAATGAGATCCCTAAAATACACTGTGAGTTAGGTTGCACAGTCTCACGATGTAACGACGAAAAGAACAAAAAAAAGAGATAGAGAGCGGAAAAAAAGAAACACCGTCTCCGTTGTTCGTTACCACGGAGCATAAAAGCGTGCATCTCCTTTTGTGGTGTCTTCGCGGCGAGAAACCCTTGTATTGTAAAAAGAAAGAGGGAAAGAGAGGAAGAGAGAGAGAGAGAGAGAGAGAGAGAGAGAGAGAGAGAGAGAGAGAGAGAGAAATTCTCCCGTTGCGAATTAAGAGCACTATAGGGGGCTGACAATCTCGGATGGTACCTTTGTCGCTGTATTAAGACAAATAATGTTACAGCAATAAAAATGTAAATTAGCATACGGAGTATTTGTTTTTTTCTGAACGCTATCGGCGCAAAACGCAGCAATACTTTGTTCGAGGCACTAACGATCCTTACTTGGAGAAAGAAAAAGAGAGAGAGAGAAAGAGAGAGAGAGAGAAAGAGAGAGAGAAAGAAAGACAGAAACAGTTTATGCGTCAGTTATTATGGTCGTCCGCGAAATTGTTGCCGCAACGCGTGTTAGCACGTTGTCACCAGGCTGCAATTCAGAGCATTACTGCGTTTTTCACGTAAACTTACCCTTAACCCCCTGAATCTGATTAGGACTGTTCCAGACCTATTGGTGGCGGTTACTAACAATAGCTTAAACCATAGAATGTGTCTGTTGTACTATGTTTTTTTTTTGTTCCTTTACGTCGAGAGGACCTGAATTTTCTCGACCTGTGAGTTACTTTTTCCTTTTTCTTCTTGGTTTCTTTTCTTCTCTTCCAAAGGTGACTACAGTAAGACTGTAAATGTTTTAACGCACATCACGCCTAGCAAAGTGCACAGTCTGCAGCAGACCTAATCAGACGCGTATCCTGTCTCTTTCTTCCGTAGAAAATACTGTGCTTTACATTGTGTGTGTGCGTGTGCGTGTGTTCTTTACTATTCTGTAAATATATCGTAGAATCTCGCGCTATGCTTGAATCACCGAATCTACAAGCGTCCGAAGAGCGAAAAGATGTAGCGTATTAATTTGTACGTCATGTTTGATCAGTTAATTTGTTATTTATACATTATTCGTTTTGAGAGAAATGTCATCTCGTGCATTCGTTCACGGGGATGTCCCTCTATGGTCATTCTGAGTAACTTTATTGGATTTTTTCATAGGATTAAAAATATAGTCCAGGACAACAGGTGCGATATTTCGTTACCTGGGAAAAAACGATTTTATATGAATTTTGTCTCTATAATACATGCTTATATATAATCATATAATTATACAGGGTGTCCCAGCATAAAAGGAGAACACCTAAATATTTTCTTTGTTTTTAATGATATAAGAAATATTTAGAGCAGAGTTTGAATAATTTCGAAGGAGGAATATCGTGGAAGGAAAATTTTGTATGGTCATTCTTTTGCATTTTCTTTTTAAGTTCCCATATTTAGACCCCAATAATTCCAGCAAACACGATATTAAGAATGTCAAGTGACGCAATAAAGATGTACATCTTAATTAATACGTAATTAATTAGTTAATTAATTAGTAAAACGACGTCACAGACGTCATTTATACGTCATCATGTTTGCTGGGATATTTAGACGTTTTCCTTGTTGGAACACCTTATATATGTTCTACATTAAAAAAATGCTGTTACACGAATATAATTGAACATAATTGAAATAAATACTTATATATTTATGGCTGCCCACGATCTAAACACTTAATTGAATTAAACTATTTTTTTTTTTCTGTTTTCCACTCAACAGCATTTTTATGTCGTCTCGATATATATAATTACATATGTAGCCACACAGAGACAAAATTCATGTATGAATCGCACATGATTATATATAATTTTACATGATTATATACAATCATTTTTTCCCGGGCATGGAACTGTTCGTAAAAGTTTTCGATCGGAATCGTTCAGTTACTCCTTAAAAAACACAACGAAGATCTGGGGAATAATTGAGAGGCTCTGGTTGGAAATCTTTCCAAATATTTCCACAATAGGTGGCCTGGGGATCTATCGAAGATTCTCCGGGCGGTCGATTTTCTCTCGCTGTAAGGTAGACTCCCGCGCGGTGTGAGAAAGAGAGAGAGTCTTAACCGACAGGATTAGCATGAAATCACCGCTATCACGTAGAAAATTATGTACCTCAAACGAGGTGTCGCGAAAGTAAGGACTAGGTAAGTGACGATACGTTTCTCAGTAAATAACAGGTTCCCACGACGATTTCCCTATCGCAACGACGACGACGTAAAGAATGAAAAAATCTCTCGTGAAGGTACCATAGAAGGCATTTGAGAAACTTAGAAGGGCGGACGCGCGGGACGAGCGGCGCTAACGAGGGCGACTCTCTGTTTCGCAGATAAATCGAGGGCGGCCTTGGCGCAGTGGAGCTCAGGGCTGGAGGAGCGCGACGGGAACGGCGAGAGCGGTACCATCGTTAGCGGCGGCGGGGGTGGCGGAGTCGACGGCGGCGCCGGCCTCGTCGGCGGGCTCGACGACGAGGCGTCGTTGATCACGGAGTCGAGCCCGGTCTCGCCGCCGTTCGTGCGCGCCCCGGCGGAGGACCGCTCCAAGTACGAGAAGCTGGCGTTCAACGCGGACGAGGTGTCGAGCGACAGCGACAACAACAAGGCCGGCGCCGGAACGGCGAAGGAGCGCGCGAAGAAAGCGAAGCGGAGGCGGGTGAAGAACGTGCTGAGCCGCGGCAGGAGGCGGGCGCACGACTTGGACAACGCGAACCCGCCCGAGTACGAGTCGGACGACTCGATCGGTTCGGCGAGCGACCTGCGGGCGATGAACGACGAGGAGGGCAACCAGGACGAGGAGCACGACGGCGGGGGTCGCGAGCGCACCATCGACGAGACCGTGTCCGAGAGCGTGCGCACCTGCGGCAGCTCGGCGTACCACGCGGAATGCGAGTCCGTGGCGACGCACGAGGACGACTACCGGATGAAGAGGCCGAAGAGGCACTACCGGGAGCAGCAGCAGCTGCCGACCATCGACGCGGACCCGATCGTCGGCCACCAGTACGGCGAGAAGCCGCTGCTGCTCGACGACGAGCTCGACCCGGAGTCGAAGCCGGAGCAGTCGCACGGCGATCCGTTCGTGCGCCATCAGTACGGCTCGAAGCCGCTGCTGTTCAACGGCGACAGCTCGTCCGACGACAACGAGCGCTCCAAGTCGCTGAACAACGGCATCTGGAAGATGGAGGACGACGTGTTCGCCATGGCGCCGTTCCCGAGGTCCAGCAGCTCGAGGAAGAGCAGCGACAGCCGCGGCAGCGAGCCGAGGAACGTCGACTTGGCCAGCGGCAGGAACTCGCCGTCGCATAACTCGAATCTGGTCACGCCGATCTCCAGCTCGCCCCCGGCCACCGTCGTCCCGCCCACGGAGGTGTTCGTGGACGTGGAGGGCAAGGCGTCGACGCCCAAGTCCGTTTTGTCCTGCGTCCAGTACTCCAAGAGCATCGCCGTCGCCGGTAAGAAGCCGATCTATGAGGAGGCTCCAGCGAGCTTCCACCAGCCCGTTCAGACGTCGCCGTCGGTGAAGAACAGTCCTCACCGCATCGCCGAGGAGGAAGGGGAGGACGAGGACGCCGAGAAGGACCTCTTCGGCTCGTCTCCCTTCAGTCCCAGCGGCTTCACCAACCCCTTCAACAACGTCCGGCCCGGCTACGCGAGCATCGACGCGCCCCCGCAGCCGGCCATGTCGACGATCCTCGGCTCCCCGGGCTCCGTCTACCTCGATTACGCCAACGTCCCTCTGCAGCGTCCGCACAATCCGGCGGACGCCTATTACGTCACATCCGCCGGCCACCCGACGACGGTCGCCTCCGCGTCCAAGTTCGGCATGGTGACGGTGAACCAGCAGACCGAGCCGGCGGTGGACGCCTCCAAGGACCTCTTCGGCTCAATTCCGTTCGAGGAGTTCGCCTCCTTGAAGATCAACGAGCAGCAGCGCCCGACGTCCTTGGCGTTGCCGCAGCCCCACTCGACCAACTACGTCGTCGTCGAGAACGTGACGAGCCTGCCGACGACCGGCGGCAGCGTGCAGTCGCCGAACTCCGTGGTCCACCTGGCGGCCACACCGCCGACGTCGCAGCAGGCCACCTACACGATCCAGCCGACCGCGCACACCGCCCGGATCACGGTGCACGCGGTCAACAGCGTCTCGAAGGTGGACATCGCGTCCGATATGATATCGCCCATGTCGCCCGAGCCGCTGGTCGGCCCGGCGGACGACGACACGCCCAAGCACAACAAGCGGGACAAGTCCAAGTCCGACCGGTCCAAGTACCACCTGATCAGCGAGAACCACGGCGACGTGGTGAACGTGCTGCCGGCGAAGGTGTTGTCGCACAAGACCAAGTCGGCGGGCCACAAGAAGACTCCGAAGGGCAAGAGGAGCTCCGCCGCCACCGCCGGCTTCAGCAACATGAGCTTCGAGGATTTCCCCAGCGACGAGAACGAGGAGAAGCAGGTGGCGCGCACCAAGGTGGCGCCCTTCGAGGTGATACGAGAGCAGTCGGAGAAGCGGTTCGGCTCGTTGAAGAGGAGGAGCAATCCGTTCACCTGAAATGAGCTCTCCGCCGGGACCGGTTAGCGCGTGCCGCTCCGCTCGTTCCTCGCGGAGCGGCCACGGGGTGACGAGGTCGTCGATCGTGCCGGCCGATGCGTTGTTGCACGGAAGACTCAGTTAACGTCTACTCTCGGTTCTCGGGCCGATAAGCTGCATTCGGCATTGTAAATCTGAAACGCGAGCTAGCGAGCAGCGTCACCGAGTCGAGCGAACCGAGCGTGAAAGTAAAAAGCCCGTCCAGACGGGAAAGGTGTAAATTGAAGGGACGATTTTTCAGGTGAAAGAGCGATCCGACATTTTCGACTTGCAATGCCGAACGCAGCTGTAATGACGTCGAACATTTCCAGTTGCGTCCGAATATCCGTGCTCGTCGTAACTCCTGATCGTTCGGCGAATCAGCGAGCGATATTCCAAAGCGGCGATCGTGACAAACAAATATTTAGAAATCGTGCGTCTGGTTGGAACTTTTCGATGTCCAAGGAATGGGACTGCATCGGAACTGCTCCTGTTTCCTCACGGCAACCATCTTGACTATGTCGGAAGCGAGAGGAAACGTTTGCCCAAAATTCTTGCGGAATACGCGGAAATATAAAGGACACGTCCATAAAACGATACTTGTGATCAACTGAGCACGTTGAAAAAAATGGGCTAGAAGGAAAGTTGCGTGTCACATTGACTTGGCCGTTTGATTCAACGTGTCTCGCGAGAATTTTTGGCACGCGTTTTCTCACTTCTGACGTCATCAAACAGGACCAGGAGGCTTAAACAATGTTCTGTGCTCGTATCGCAGTTAGCGTACGACTGCGGGGATGTTAACACGTTCGCTACCAACGTCGTACATACAGGTGGTACGCCGTCTCTCCCTAGAAACCGGTGTCACGTGCGCGTTATGTATTAAAAAAAAAGAAGACGCTCAATTCGCCTGTTTAAAACATTTTATGTGTGCGCAAGTGCAGACGCGCACTATATTCGATGCAGACGCTAAAAATGCAGCGTGCGCCATTCGCGAGCGACATTCAATTTTAACGTGGTAGCGAACGCTAATTGGTAAAAAGAAAACAAGAAAGGAAAACATCAGGTTATCCCTCACGAACACCGGGAGGACGCAGTCGACAGAACGCAGGTTGTTATACACTGTTGTACAGAGTTTCAGGTTCGAGGTGGTTCGCCTTCTTCTTTCCTCAGCTTCGAGATTGCGCGAATTTGTCAGCGATGCGAAATGCTCGAAATGAGCGGATATCGCGCCCGTTTACACATCGCCCGTTTCCGAAATACGCGTTTGTGAAAAAATGCAGGACAAAGAGGAGCGGCGCGATATAAATAATTTGCGAAAAGGTTTTTGCACATCGATTCGTTATTTATTCGGGCAGAATCGTCATCGAAGTAATATTAACGGTAAATTTACTCGAATTTAATTTATACCTCTTTTAACGCGTGATTTGTTTCCTCAATTTAACGTTAAAGAAAAAAGTTGCAAGATGGCGATATGTATTTTAAAGATATTTTAAAGGTTGTAAAGACGCAGAGAAATACTGCTGTTACACACACACACACACACACATATATATATATATATTTATATATCATGATTCTCCGACATTTGTACATTTTGCCAGTTATTTTCTCACAAACGTTGACAAGGCGATGTGATAACAGCTAGTAAAGCTACGTACGTTTATATCAGAAGGCATACACACACATACACACGCATACTGCATGAGTGAATATATTTATACATATATATACCCACATGCCTAACTGACAAATGCGCGATGAATCGTATAAAAACGTGATTTACACCAGTCGGAAAGTATTAATTCATATACTATCACTTTTTAATTACTTTTTGCATTTTTAGAAGATTTACACAAAGAAAATGTGAGAGGAAAAGAGTGAAAGAGAGAGAGAGAGAGAGAGAGAGAGAGAGAGAGAGAGAGAGANAGAAGTAGGAACCAGAAAAAACTGACAGAAACAAAAGACATTATGTGGAGGGAGGTGTTGATTTGTACGTTAAAGAAAGAACGAGACAAAAAGGCACTCTTTCCAACATGTTTTAACTGAAACCAGGTTGTGGGAACTTGGCAGCTTGATACCAAAAATGATAAATAGGTAGAGAAAGCTCGTGCATCTATTTTTGCAGCTAAGTCTTTTCGCTACGTTTGTACTTTCAAATTTGTAGATTTCTACTAGTAATACAATCTACCACCAGCTCTTACGAAGCAATTTTTCTAAGAGAATTATCTAATTAATTATATATACATCTGTAAAACGTAATCCTGTAGCGAAGTTTAGCATCGACGAAAGAGGTAGAGATGTAAAGAGAGAGAGGGGGGGGGGGGAAGAAAGAAATTTTTACCGTGTATTCATGGTCTCTCAAGGGAGAGAGAGAGAGAGAGAGAGAGAGAGAGATCATATATATATATAGAGTATTCCTTACGAAAACTATAGTAATACATAGTTCACAGGAAATCCGATGTTACAAAGGCGCAGATAATAGCACGTGAAGTGTAACCTTTATCATATAAACGTAACCTTTATCATATAACATTTATCCGCGACTACGTTAAGAAAAGAAGAAAAGGAAGAACGATACGTCGCGAAGAAACACACGATCCGCCTAAAAGGGATTGGCCTTATCGTGTAAAGACTGACTTTCGTTTAACAGTCTCGATTGATGTTCAGATTCAGCACAAGATGGCTATAGTTCTTTCAGGTGATCGCTTAGAATTCGACGACACAATTATGCACACGAGATGCGAATTGTCCAACTATACTGAGAAACGACGTGGCTTTTGCACCGGTGATAATCAAGACCGTTGAACACGGTGTAGAAGTAGAAGTGTTATTGGTGCTGGTTAGAGTAACGGTGCCAGTAGTAATACTCATACTAAACGTTTATTTTTATCACAATGCTGAATTCACGAAAACATACATACAGACACGCAGGTGTTTAATTATTACTCCGTCTATACCGAGCTCGAACGAAATAGGGATGGGATTTTTATAACTTTCGAGAGTTATCGTTTTAATCGTAAATTTTCTACTGCTAATACTGCGCCTTTCTAATCGAGTCCAAGGCGGACAAGATCTAGTTCAGTGTAAAAAGATGTGACAATATTCTAGAGAAGAGAAATGTTTATAATCTAAGTGTTTTTATGCGCACGCATATTACACATACATGTATACATAAAAAAAAGAGGAAAAGTGTAACATAATTTGTAGATATTAGCTCATATGATTAGGTGCCTTCCTTTACTAAGTAGCGTTCGAAGCTTGCGGTCTTTGCTCTGTCTCGTGTAGTATATAAAAACGAAGAAAACCGATAGTATTATAAGAGAGAAACAGAGTCAATTGTATTTGTATGTATAAGGGATAGCATCTGAAAGTTTATTTTCAGTTTAGTTCCTATGCATATATATATA